TTGATATATATATATTAATTTATATAATTTTTTTTTTCCCCTTTCCTCTTTAAACACTAAATCTCTAAACGCACGCACCCGAGCTCTGCCTCCTTTCCCTCTCCCGTTCGAGTGCCTGACCCTTTCCCTTTCTCGGTCTCGAGCCAATCGAGATCCTCCTCCTCCACGCGAGAGAAAGTTGACCTCGTTTGTCCTTGCCTGACATTCTTCTGCCCGCGGCCCTCCTTCCCGAAGCCGTGCTAGTCTCCCTAGGCTGTGGTTTTCCTTTTCTTGGTAGTTTGACTTTGGGAAGCTTGTTCTATGGTACACTGGAATGACAAATCTTCTCTTCTTCCCGATGCTTCCCTCGCTGCTACAGGGCTGGCTGCTCGGTCTGAGATGCCTCGGTGGTTTCGCCTTCTGTGAGCAGGGAGCGCGTCCTTTTTTTTTGGCCCGATTCGAGTGTCGTGGGTCGATAAGGGTGGTCTTCTTTCTCTTCTCCTCTATTCTCTGCCTATAAACACAGTTTTTTTGAAGATTTTTGAGGTTGTTGAAGAAAATTTGCAAGAGAGGGGAGTAGAAATTTTGGCTGTGAGGAGATTAGAAAGGGAATTTCTGTGAGAGCATTTCTTTGAGGTGAATTTTTGTGTTGCAGTGCTTTTACATTGGCATTAAAGAGGTACCCCTTCTTCCCTCCTCTTCTTCGGTGCCCTGTTTCTTTTCGGTTTTCCTCTCTGCCGAGCCTTCGAGTCTGGCTCTGTTGGATGATACAACATGCTAGTTCACTTTACTTTCATATTTTTTAGATATTCACTTTAGGGGGCATGTGAAAGATGAAATGTGAGCATATTTTAGGAATTAGACTTAGACATTTGCTTAAAGTGGTGGAGATATGATATGTTCTTTGTTTATCCTATCATATTTATGTTGGCGGCGATTTGGATAGTTAAAGCATGGCTTTAGAACATTTTTTTTTACTCCTCTTGCAAGCATGCTAGAATAGGGAGATTATTGCTCGCCCCGTTCCTAAATGTGTTCTTACTCATTATTTATACATTCGTTATATAAGAATAACATTTAAAGGCTAGAAGATATATATTTCCTTCTCCCCTCCCCTTCCTCAGTGCCTTGCTTACCTGCGGTTTTTTTCTCTCTGTCGAGCCTCTCTTGCTCGGCTCTGTTGGATGATACAGCATGCTAGTGTAGTTTGCTTTCTTGTATTTTGAAATATTCAACATGCTTTACTTTCATGTATTTCAAGATATTCACTTTACGAGCATCTGGTAGTTCTATTTTGAGAGTTTTTAAAGGCATGAGGATATCGCTCTAACTTTCATTGTGGCTTAGTACTGGAGGTCTTAGTTGCAGCTTGGTTACTGCGGTTTTGGCTTGGTTTGGAGGCTCGATTTTGGTTTAAAATGGCTAGAACTTTAATTTTTTTTACGAAAGCCTGAAGTATCATATTGCTGGGCTTGGTTTTAATCTTGTTGGACTCGGTTTTGGCTTTTAGTCTCTGTTGGGCTCGGCTTTGGCTTGATTTGGAGTCGTGGTTTTGGGTTTGAAATGGTTGAATCTTTAATGCTTTATGAGAGTCTGGATTATAATATTGTTTGGGCTCGGTTTTGGGCCTTGAATGGCTCGGTTTGGTTTTAGTTAGAGGCTGTGTTTATTTTGTTTGGTCCCTGCCGGGCTCGGTTTGGCTTTAGTTGGGGGGGGGGGGGGGGGTGGTGGTGGGGTTTT